GAATATACTGTTTTGTAATGCTGATATACTCTTCGGGTTTTTACCGAGATGAAGACGTATAAAATTGAATTGACTGTATTGAAATACGATAAAATCTATGGCGTGTTTAAAGCTATAATCGAATTTAGAATATAGTATCTTTTAGGCAAGATATTTTTACCTATTTTTACTCAAAATACATCTTGTGCACTATTCAAACAAACAGGAAAAGTAAAAGCATAATGAGAGTGATAAGTGAGAGGGTGATGTAATGATCTAGAGAGAGGTCAAAGGACTCGTAATTACTCATTACTGACTCGTCGTCGCTGAAGTTCTAACATCAATAACCTAGTTTATTCTTTCTTTTCTTTTCATTTCTTCATTTCGTCGTTGGAGAGCATTGATTAAAATGTTTTGTACGTTTTTATAGCTTCTTTTTACAATAAAAAAAGCAAACTTAAAAAACACATTGTGATCAAGTGCTAGAAAGTTTAAAAAAAAAAAGATTAAAAAAATTGTAATTTTATTTATNTGAAATTCAATATAGAGATAGTATGGTTAACCTTGTTTAACAATATATAAAATGTAGGTCTATATATATATATATTTTTTCCTTATAAGAAACAAATTTAAGTGTTTCAATTGAAAAAAAATTTAAACTGTATATTTCTATTTTGAAAGATAAAACTAAATCATTTTATTTATAAGACTACATATCCACTTTATATAAGCCGAGTTATTATATAAACTTAGAGAAACCATTCCAGCAAAGTTTACTCTACGGGATAAGTTTAGTAAGCAATGCCAATGGACCTATTTTTCAAAGTCTAACTAACTAAATTATATGTAGTTACTGTTTACTCTGCTTTTCTTAATTGTTAAACACACAGACGACATTAAATTCTTATTAAATAGCTCTTGCTAAACTCTTGCCAAAATTTATCGATTCAAATAAAGTTTCGTGTTTAATAAATATAATTTATATACGTAAATTATATTATGTGTATAAAAAATAATAATCTGAACTGTGAACTTATTATATTTACGAAATGATAAGACTCGAGACTGGTTGTTTACATCATATTTTTCACTTGTTTTATTTCATTTTCTTTTTCTTTCAAATTCAATGCTTCACTAACAATCATTCCTATCGATTTTCAATTTTTTATTTTATTTCTTTTTATCGTACAAATATTGGAATTGAATACTTACAATTTTCAGATATGGAAAAATGTACGTTTTTATATATATTTACCTTAACATGAGGTATATTCATTTTTATATTTATTGATAATCTTCGCTTGAGGTTTATATGTTCAAATACAATAAACATCTTTCCAGTTTGTTTCAAAGATAAACAAAACAAAAAATAAACGAAAAAATATATATCCATTTATTCTGTATGCAAAGAAAGTAACGCAACATTTTATTTTCTACACAAAACCGTTTTAAAGATTTTCATGTATACGCTTGTTTTTTAAACAGAATAACTATTTTTCTGTTACAAATATAGATAATAGAATAAGTATAAAGGTCATTATATATTTTATCCGGATAATAAATAACATTATCATTGAATCCAGATAAATATATATATTTCTTGTTTCTTCTTTTTCTTAAATCAATTATTTTTATAAACAAAAATATAAACATTTANATATTAATCGTTAGAATTTACAACATTACAGTTCCTGTGTTGAATTGGTGAATTGTACAACTTCGCAAATACATCGATCACTAAAGGAAACTTTTCCAACAGCACTCACAAGACTAAGAAGCAAGTTTCTCTTGTTGATCCGATTCAATTTATCTTTGTACATGAAAAACTTAAAAGTATATTTAGAATCCCTTAACATCATACAAAGTGTAGACTGTTATGTTGTTTTCTTTAGTCTTTATTATTATTTTTTCTTTTTTAAATAGAAGAATCGTTACAAATGTGAAACATATGACATTAGAATGTTTTCGTCTAACATCAGCAAACATTCTTATCTATTTTTATTTGTATATAAATTTAAAAAAAATCACTTTACACACGACTTAAATGATAAAAGTTTAGGAGAAACGAGTGTTAAAATTTATATAGGACTACAAATGTTTTTGAAATTTATACTTTTATTTTTATTCCTTTATTTTTTTCATCCCTAATTTCCTTCCTATTCTGTCGTTTATCCATTTATTAAAATATTTAAAAATTAGTATAAATAATGATAAAATACTTGACATTAAAAATATTACTTATTAAAACAATAAAATTAAATTAATTATTGTTCAAAAAATGATTATTTTTCAAGAAGCGTAACCTCAAAAATCATCAGATTATTAATCAAACAATGACTTACCTTTAATGTTTTTTTATAGAAAATAATAATAAAAAAGGAAAATAATGAGAATGGGACACAAAAAAACTAATAAAAACCGACTGATGGAAAGGGATTAAAAAAAAAATATATATATATATAGGCTATATAAATATCTAAAAAATATAAAATTCCATCAGTGGCGGGTAAAAAGAGCAATTGCCTAGGGCCCCACTAACAAGGGGCCCCAAATCAATATTTTTATAAAAAAAAATATTTTCCCAAAAATTCCTCCGAAGAAAAATGAAGTCAACACTGTATATAACCTATTCAAATTTTTCCTGGGCCAATGAAGCTATAACGCGCCACTGAACTTCATGATTTAAACTCAAATATTTAAAACTTGTTTATAATATGATAAAGTGTTAATTCTGTAATTTAATTACAAAATTTTCTAAAAATTAAAATTCTAAAGAAAATTAAAGTATCAGTTTATAAATATTATGCTAAATACGAATATTAATAGTGAATAACATACATTTTTATTTTTTAAAAATTTAAATTAATTTAGTCAGATCAGTTTCTTAATAGGAAATTTATCGTTGCAAAATTATTCTTTAAGAGAAAGTAATTAGTTTAACAAAATGGTATAACATAAAAGTAATTTTGCTAATAAGATTAATAAATATTTTGGAAGCGAAACTGATTCTTAAATTGAATTTTAACATAACAAAATTAATCCCTAATAGCAAGAAATTCTATTTAAATAATGATCTAAAACTTATAATATTTAATCTTAGAATAAATTACGAAAATATTTTTAATTATAAAATTTAAATCTTTACATAATCTTTAAAATTATATTTACGTGAGTAAGCTCATAACTTTAAATTTTATTAATAAAAATTTTGGATGTAATATAATTCGATTTTTAATTTAATTTTAAAACTATTTTTAACTCATAAAAACTAACTTTTTTAAATAAAAAATCTATATTAAATCAATCAAAATTTATTTTAAATTACATTTTCCCCCCATATTTTTATAGCTTTTTTTTAAAGGTAGAAAGTGGATTCATAATGGGCATCCTTTAAAAAAGCATTGATCCTATTAATGCTCCTGATCTTCATGTTCATTATGGATTCGATTAGAGCAGAAGGAATATTTTTTAATCAGAAAATCACATCTAATTTCGGTGGAATCCCGTAAGGTAACATTTTGTATTTCAAGCTACATATTAATTGTATATATCGATATCACACGTACAAAAATGCACACATGTTATATTTACAGAGATATTTGGTTCTTTATTGAAAAAAGTAACAGAAAAGGCACTTTCATAGGTCAAAATTCATGACAGCAAAATTAACCTTATGCAATTTTATATTTTATCCGGTTACACTAAAAGCCACAAAAGGCCGCAGGTTCTACACCTCTAGGCTAGGCCTACAAAGAGCATGGCCAAATGGAGAAGGATGAAACTTAATATATCTGGGTCAAATCACCCATGAAAACATATTTTTATAGTGTAAAAGTAAAACTTTATAATCTTTGATCCGAGACATAAATAGAAATATATATATATATAGGTACACACACACATATACNACAGAACTACTTTAAAAATTTTTAAAGATTTTTATTTAATTTTAATAAAGAATTTCTCTTTATAAAAAAATTATTTATTTGCTCTTTAAAAAAAAAAGACTTACTCAAAACTAAATCATATTGCTGTAATTGGTTCTCGTAACTTAAAAGAAAATTTTAATAACTACACATTAATTACTGAAGTAAAATTAAATAAGACCGAAATTAGTTTTATTTAAGGTATATAAAAAAAAAGGTATATTTTTAAAAGAATTTGTTTAGAAAGTAGCTTTCGGAGAGATAAAACAAATAGCAATTGCAAATTGGTAAATTTTTAACCATATTTCTAATTTGCAGTACTTATTAAAACATAAAAGTACAAAAATTTTATTAAATTCATCTGAGTTTTTTTTATTATTATTTTTGTTCACTTTCCAGTTCTAATTTAATTTTACAGTTCTTTGAATCGTAAACCAATTTAAGTGGAACCAGTTCGAATATTGCTTTGGACTTTTCACCTTCGGGGAATATGTTAGATTATTCAAATTTTTTATCTTTATTTTTCTTTTTAACAACGTTGTAGTTTACATAGCAAGAAAATATACATATTTATATTAGCAATTCATCATATTAAAAAACAAATTATATAAAACAATTGCAGACGGATCGATGTCTCGCATTCCTTTACGATTTTTCCTAGTTTTCAATGTTAAAAAATCTAATGTAATGTAAATATTTCGCATCAAAAACACGAAAAAAATCATATATAATTTCTGTATAATTAAAATTCTTAAAACTGTAAAATTATAATTAAAAGAAAAGAAAAGGGGGGGAAACTATATTTACATATCTAGAGATTTATAAGTTAGTCGGTTTAATAATATATAAAAACAGAAAGTAAGAGCTTATAAGTTTGCTAATTTAATAATATTCAATAAAGCAGAAAAATATTCTTGGATTAAATTAAATTTTTATGTTAAATATCCATTAAATCAATAAATCTTTACAGATGCACATTTTAATATATAATTAACGAAGCAGAAGTCGTGCGAATTGCATTAATATTTTAAAACAAAGTTTACACGGGTTAAAATTTATTTATGTTTATTTATATCCGATACAAACTGAGTGTTTGCAACAAGTTTAGGACCTCCTTGAAAAATTATTACATTCCAATGACAGTCTATGTCATCCGGCTTCGCCCCGTATTGATTTTACTCAACTACACATGTAATGGGAAGTGTAGGAAGAGGTCAAAGCACATCTGCATAATTAAACATTTAGAATATTTTTACGGGATTTAAATTCTTATCTTTTAAAATATTTTCTGTTTACCTTGTATTGGATTGTCCGTATCTGTGATATTTTTCATTTAATGATAGATCGCCAGAATATTCGTCTAGTTCTTTTACTATAAGAAAAAAAAATATATATATATATAGGCTATATAAAACAGGATAATTCTAAATTTAATAATATATAAAGATTTTTCTTATAAAGTTATAAATATTGTAGATATTGGGCATTATTTTATATCGCATTCTGTTATAATAAAATACTATTTTTCAAGGCAATAGAAGAGAATGTAATAATATAGTTTCTGTAGTAACATATCATTCACATATTAATAATTTCAGAAAAGGAAACGGATGAAAGAACGGGTCGTGCGTATACGTTAGGCAGAAGAAAACAGAAATAAATAACATATAAAGACTATATCTAAACTCATATTTTAAAGAAAAGTCCTTACTTGTAACATCAATGTTAGGCTGTTTATCAGTATTGTCTCGACCGTTCGTCCATAATCTTGAATACTGATGTGGAAGGTTTTCGGGTCTTCTCTAAAAAAAGAAAAAAACATAACAAAGACGTTAAAGAGTGTACAAATTAAAAAAAAAGTTATCGATCAATAAGATAAATCTCTTTTGTTAATTTAAACTTTAAAGTAAACAGTTTGATCTGTTGTATCGGCTCTAGTTTGTTGAATATTTTGTAGTTTGAACGTTTAATTAAGCGTGTCTGTCATGTTGTATCATATAGACAAGCTTCCTTTATAATTAATTAGCTAATTTTGTTCGTGTTCGATGCTTGGTATATAAACGTGCAATTTATCTCTCTCTCTTTCTGCCAAGTACATCTATTAGAGAGTTAAGAAAAAAAATAGCTAAAATTCAACCAAGCATATATACTTTTTTAAAAACATATCCGCCGTCGGCGTATTTTAAAGATGCATTCGTACAGTTAAGGATTAATGCGGTCACTTCAAGGAAATTTAGTTACAGCTGAATAATTAACTAGGTTTATTTAACGGAAATAAGAGTAAAAACATCAATTTTTATGGAAAAAAAATCCTAAAAATAATAATAAAAAAATTATATCTCTGGAAAAATTTTACAAAACAAATTTAACTTTACTTATTGAATTTAATGCAGCTTCTTGAATCTTAACTTATACTGTAAATACATATAATTTTTATTTTTATTTTATTTTTTTCGTTTTATTAAGTTAAGAACCTTTTTATTTTAAATTTTTTATGAATGTATTAGATAAAATAATTAATTCATTATTATTTATACATTTACGTACGTGCTTGCATGTGCGTGTAATTAAATTTATTATTTATTAACTTTTTAGATGATATTAAATTAACTTTTAAATAAAAATCGTTAAAAGTTATTTAAAAAACGCTTTTATTTATTTATTTAGAATATAAAAAAATAATATTAAATTTCAATAAAATTTGAATAAAGAGAAAGAATAGTATTTAAAACCTATTAAATTTAAAATATAAATAAATAAATAAACAAACAAAAAAAAACACTGAATTAGAAATTTAATAAAATTATTTACTGATATCTTGTAAAAAATAGAACTGTTTGTTATTAAAAATACCGTAAATAATTACTTCAATTTTATAAAAGTTTTTATATTGCTTTGAAAAATTTTTATCGTAAAAATCGTACGACTTTTATTAGTATTATTATTATTATCATCATCATCATTTCACTTTTTTCCCCCTTTTTCTTATCAACTTTTGCAGTAAAATTAGAAAGTGCAGAAGTTGTAAAATTGAATTTAACAACTTAATTACCTGTACGCGGTGCGGTACATCATACGTATGCTCTGTGGTTCGAGATTTATTTGGGCGTAAGCATTCTGGAGACTCCAGATTTCTACTTTCCGATTGGCTAGTTGGGATATGAGTTGTGGCATAAGGCAAGGGATAGTACAGTGGCTCCCTCTGTGCGTCGTAAACGGAATTACCTTTGGCTTTTCCGTATGAGCTCATGGATATGTCATCCGCCCTCCCTCCGGAATTTCTAGAATCTGAATTAAATTTAAAATCGTTATATAATAAATAAAGATTAACTTATTTCAAAATTAAGTAAAATTCTCTCCATGGAAAAAAAAGTAATCCTTAAATAAAAACAATTTAGATAAGGCTGATAAACTTTGATATCCTTGAAATACTATACACAAATGCTTTAAGGATGTACTTGAAGTTTCTGAGAAACTGACGTCAGTATATAAACATACGGTTAGTTAATTCAATATTCTGTATCTAAGAGGCTAATTTATGTTTAGAAAAACAAATAGAGGATATATTTACAGAGATCCGATGATACGTCTCCTCCACTTTCTCTTCTTTTCCACACTACAACGAATGTTGTAACGCTAATGATAACAACTAATACGACTATTGCACATATTATAGGCACTAAAATAGCCGGATCTTCGAGAAAAATAAAATGTTTCCCTGTAGTTGGAGGGGGTATAGTTCCTAGAATATAAAAATATTAAATAAATAAAAGTATTGACGATATCATATTACTACTGTTTACATTAATTCGAATAATTTAACTGGTTGATTAGTTAATATTATAATTATCAGTGGACATTGCAAATTAATGGTCTAGTTCAAATAATTAGTTAAAGTGAAAGCAAATTTAATTAAAACGAAAATATGATTAAGGTTAAATTTTAGAGGTGAACATATTAATCATTATTAAATTTACTATAAATTATTAATTTTTTTAAACAAGCTGATGTTATGAACAGATAATTAATATTCAAAAACATAATACTCTGAAGTCAATGATAATGCTTGAAAAATGAATAGACTGTAAAAAACATGGAGGCTTATATAAATCCGCTGAACAACAATTCATAGGGAAAAAAATAGAATAGAATAGACTGCTGCTATGGATGTATTTAATAACGAAAGCAGAAAAATAGAGTCTATTATGATGTATTTAATGATAATATCAGAAAGCTTCAGATACAGTATAAATAACGATAATCATATCAGACAAAAGTGATCTTTCGGTTTTCTTAATATGTCACATTCAATATTTATCATGATCGATAACAGGATAACGACAAAAAGGAAACTGAAAAAACATGTTATAATCTCTATACTATACTCTAGACAGAAGTCGACATCTGTTTCAATAGCTTTCAATTGATGTTAAAGCTAAAATTAAATAAACGTTTACTATCTATTACTCAATAAAACTCTGGTTAATACCTAACAATAGAAAAGAATTGATATCTTCTGATCAGTACATAAAAAAAAGAGTATAGAACATTGCTCTAGTGGGACATATCAAACAGCGATTCTCCTTTGAAGAATTAAGATTTAAAGAGTTTAATACCGGAGAACAATTCACTACGGTGAGAAACTTAATCTGAAACATAGTTTCTCACCCAGTCAGTCGCCATCCTCAAGCTATGCTTAACTAATACTAGAAATTGAGACTCATTACTTGAGAAACTATAATTTTCCCCTAATATCACAGTGTAAATTAGTTGTAAAATGATCTAATTTCAAATAAAATTTACATTGTTAATAAAGTCATAGCTCAATACACCGCTCTACTGAATAATGCCACTCTCATAAAGCGCCAACGAATACTGGTAAACAGATCGTCCTCATAAATTTTAAATGGGAAACTCCTTCAGTATGTGTGAATTACTAAATGAACTAGTTTGCATTGCAAACAATATTGTTATCACTAAATCACGTGACTTTAAAATTCTCAAATTCACACTTATTGTAGCACTCACTTCGGTTTAGCACCACATTTCGATTTAGTGTCAATTTCGCAGCTGAATAAATAAATTATGGTAGCAAATAGAATTTTTTATAAACTAAATAATATAGTAATAATTACAAATATTAAGTTTACAAATGAAAGGCTTTTATAATATTATCTTTGACGTTACGGTAATTGATTTTCAGAGTGATGAAGACGGAGATTTCAACTTGAAGTATGTTGCGCCATCTGGCGGTAAAATTTCTTATTACACTCTTTCGATATTTATTACTTTCCTGAGAAATTGGAAAATTTTTCATAATAAAACTTGAAACAAACTTTCGTTCAACTATCGAAAATCGAAAATATTAAGTAGTAAAATATGTTTAAAATTTAATACGAAAAGAATAAAATGTTATTTAATTCTTTTATATTGATTTAAAATATTAGAGGATGAAAAATTACATTAAAAAATCTATCAGTAAGATTTTCATTTAATTATAAAAATATTGTGACTTATTAATTAAATTTTAACATTAATAATTTTTACCATATTATTCATTGTAAAAAAAATAAAGTAATGTTAGATTAAAGAAACCTTCATTTTAATTGCTTTTAAGTAAAATTTATTTTAAAAAAAAGAAATGCAATTTAATATATATCACTTANATGTAAGATGTTTATCCAAGAAAATACATCAAGAGGTCGGCAAGTGGAGTTAATGCACTCGAAATCCAACAAACACGTTAATGTAGTAGAATGATGAAATATGTTATATAAAACTGAACATGTTTTCTCTCTAAGTCTATTATTCGTAATAGACAAGTTTTAGTGTATCATATATGTGTGCCACATTTATTCAGGACATAATTGAACACTGTGACTTACATGCTGTTCACAAAATGTACATTTTACCAGTACAGTTTCGCGCTCGACTGAAATTTTGTGATATAAGTTCAATCTAGTGAAGAAATTGCCATCTCTGCAAACTTTTGAATGAGTTTACTACTTCTTTTCAACATGACATCGTTATGATCATGGCCTAGGAGAATAATAACAAAGGAAATTACTTGAATTACTGAGCCAAATGATAAAAATCTTGTTCAAATTTTATTTAAAATTGGATTTATGTAATTCGAATATAACATTAGAGTTTCATAATGTATACGATTACTATATATATGCAATTTTAAACGAATAATTCAGAACATATTAGAAACTATAATTAGGAAGAACAAGAAACATCGAATTAATTAATATTAAGTTTGAATTATTAGTTATATCTGTTATAAAGTATGTTTCATTATTAATAACTACTTAAGCACTTGCATATTAATAATTATTATGAGAAAATTCAAATGGATTTAATCAGTCATAACATTATCAACAATTATTATATTCACGTTATAAACTATTATATACTACTTATATATTTATAACTAAGAACATAAAATTTAATAAAATATTTAAAAAGTAATAATAAAATAAAATTTAAAAAGCGAGCTTATTATTATTTAATATAGCAATATGTGTTTTTCATCTGTATTCACCACAGCACAGCTAGGGAATGTGATTTTTTTTTCTTTTTCCAAAACTATATTCACCATTACATAGCTCCAGGCTATGCTTTTCTGAAGTATACTACAAATATTTTGAAAATGCAACTATTGCAATTTTAGACTTTTTTAATCTTCAAAATTTGTATTCTAGTATGTACATTACACTCAAAAAACAGATTTCGATATTTAAAAAACAATAAAATGTATCTATTTTAAGAAACTAGGAGTATAAATTATAGGCCTATATTTATTCTTTGGAGTGAAGAGCTGCATGCATTTATTTAACAGGTACACAGAGTGATTTCAAAAGATTCTATCAATAGTTACAATAATATATAAAGTTTATAAGAAATTTTTATTGTGTAGAATAATTCTTAACGAAAATAATTATTTAAATCCTGTAAAAATTTCATGGATTTTAGTAACCCCAATTAGTATTTTTATGGAAAAAAAAAGAAGTATTGTGTGGAATTTATTATACTTAAATACCTTTTGAATAGAGAACGTATTAAAATTTACATGAATTATGTATTTTCCTATCAAATGTCGAAGAAGACATAAATAAAGACATGCCATTTTTTTATAACAAAACAAAAAAAAAATTAGAAAAAACCCACAAACATTATCTAACATCTTTAGTAAAAATGGGAATAATTTTACTTTTTCTCTATATTTTTATAGGATTTGTCTTTATATTACTTGAGTAAAGATAGATGTAAGATGTTTATCCAAGAAAATACATCAAGAGGTCGGCAAGTGGAGTTAATGCACTCGAAATCCAACAAACACGTTAATGTAGTAGAATGATGAAATATGTTATATAAAACTGAACATGTTTTCTCTCTAAGTCTATTATTCGTAATAGACAAGTTTTAGTGTATCATATATGTGTGCCACATTTATTCAGGACATAATTGAACACTGTGACTTACATGCTGTTCACAAAATGTACATTTTACCAGTACAGTTTCGCGCTCGACTGAAATTTTGTGATATAAGTTCAATCTAGTGAAGAAATTGCCATCTCTGCAAACTTTTGAATGAGTTTACTACTTCTTTTCAACATGACATCGTTATGATCATGGCCTAGGAGAATAATAACAAAGGAAATTACTTGAATTACTGAGCCAAATGATAAAAATCTTGTTCAAATTTTATTTAAAATTGGATTTATGTAATTCGAATATAACATTAGAGTTTCATAATGTATACGATTACTATATATATGCAATTTTAAACGAATAATTCAGAACATATTAGAAACTATAATTAGGAAGAACAAGAAACATCGAATTAATTAATATTAAGTTTGAATTATTAGTTATATCTGTTATAAAGTATGTTTCATTATTAATAACTACTTAAGCACTTGCATATTAATAATTATTATGAGAAAATTCAAATGGATTTAATCAGTCATAACATTATCAACAATTATTATATTCACGTTATAAACTATTATATACTACTTATATATTTATAACTAAGAACATAAAATTTAATAAAATATTTAAAAAATAATAAAATATAAGAGTTGAATTCGTTACTTATTTATACACCAATATATTTTTCCATCTGCGCTTACTGTAAGAGTTTTGTTTTTCGAACTGTATTAACTACTTTTTTACTTGTCGTGTAATATTAAAATACAAATACGTGTGTATTTACTTAAAAAAATACTTTTAAAAAATTAAAAAAAACAGTCATTAATTACAATCAATAATTAACGAAAAGATAATCAGAAACACAGTAATTAGTCATATATGATTTTTAAATATTATATACGTTTAGTTTTTAATTTTAAAAACATTTTAAAAATACATTAATTATTGATTATAAAAAGTATAATATCTCAAAATTCTCCCACAAGATGGCAGCAGTTAGAGTAAGCATCATTATTATTATAGAAGCATCAAATATGCTTCCAGGCTATCATATTAAAATGATTTAGAAATATTTAAATTTGATAAAATTTAGATTATTTCAATAATTCGATTCATGTAATATGAATTTGAAATATTAAATTTATATGATTTAGTTAAGATTGTAAGAAAAATAAACAAGTGAGCGTGCGAAAGGCATTTATAAAAATAAACAGAAAGCGAAAATTTAGTTTGGATTTACAAACAAGAAATTCACGTAGTGTATATATTGCATTAGTTCGTGCTTCATTGGTTGGATGAACT